CACCCGCCCGATCTCAATTGTGATGATTTTTTTATTCGCCGTCAACCAAAGGGGCGGAGCTTAACTGCAAAATACTTGTTTCTTTACAAAAAATTAAAAAGATTTTTTGAGCATCGTGATGTTAAAAAAACCTACGTATATTAAGAAAAAAAGGTAAAATGTAAGCCCCGCCCACCCACCCGTTCTCAATTGTAATGATTTTTTGTATTCGTCGTCGACCAAGGCGGAGGAGCTCAACTGCAAAATACTTATTTCTTCGCAAAAAATTAAAAATATGTTTTGGGCGTCGTGTTCTTCAAAAACTACTATGTATATCAAGAAAAAAAGTTAAAATATAAACCCCGCCCATCCACCCGATCTCAATTGTGACGATTTTTTGTATTCGCCGTGAACCAAGGGGGGCGGAGTTTAACTGCAAAATACTTATTTCTTTACAAAAAATTAAAACGATGTTTTGAGCATCGTGTTCTTCAAAAAATACTACGTATATTAAGAAAAAAAGATAAAATGTAAACCCCGCCCACCCACCCGATCTCAATTGTGATGATTTTTTTTAATCGCCGTTAACCAAGGGAGCGGAGCTTAACTGCAAAATACTTATTTCTTTACAAAAAATTAACAAGATGTTTTGAGCATCGTGTTGTTCAAAAAATACTATTTATATTCAGAAAAACAGGTAAAATGTAAACCCCGCCCACCCACCCGATCTCAATTGTGACGATTTTTTGTATTCGCTGTGAACCAAGGGGGGCAAAGCTTAACTACAAAATACTTATTTCTTTACAAAAAATTAAAAAGATGTTTTGAGCATCGTGTTGTTCAAAAAATACTATGTATATTAAGAAAAACAGGTAAAATGTAAACCCCGCCCACCCACCCGATCTCAATTGTGACGATTTTTAGTATTCGCCGTGTACCAAGAGGGGCGGAGCTTAACTGCAAAATACTTGTTTCTCTACAAGAAATTAAAAACAAGTTTTTGAGTATCGTTTTATTCTAAGAATACCATCTATATTAAGAAAAAAGACAAAATATAAACCCCGCCCACCCACCCGATCTCAATTGGGATGATTTTTTTATTCTTAGACACTTAGCATGTTTAAAATGGTACATTTTTGTAAGGAAATATGGATTTTGCTATTAGACTCCCCCCTAGGTCTGCCAACGAATGAAAACTGCATTACTATTTAAATCAGGGCAGGTATAGGTGGGGCTTAATCTTTGGCTTTCATTTTTTCGTAATATACCTACGTAGTATTCTTTGAATAACACGATTCACAAAAACATGCTTTACATGACAATTTCTTGTAGAGAAATAAAAATTTTGCAATTGGCTCACGATGAATAAAAAAATCATCACAATTGAGATAGGGCGGGTGGGCGGGGCTTACATTTTACCTTTTTTTCTTAATATGTGCAGTCATCTTTTCCCAATAAGAAACTTAGGACATGTTTAAAACAGTAAATTTGTATAGGGAAATATTGATTTTGCAATTATGCTCCGCCTCTCGGTCTGACAACGAATGAAGCATTCATCACGATTGAGATCGAGACGGATGGGAGGGGCTTACTCTTTTGATTTTCTTTGTTAATTAATACATTTAGTTTTCTTTGTATAATACGATTACTTAAGAACATATTTCACATTGTAATTTCTCGTAGAAAAATAATCATTTTACAATTAATCTTCGCCCCTCGGCTTAAGACGAATAAAAAAATCATCAGAATTGAGATAGGGTGGGTGGACGGGGTTTATATTTTCCTTTTTTTCTCAACATACCTATATGGTATTCTTTGAACAAATGCGTTTAAAATTGCAAATTTTTGTAAGGAAATGTGGATTTTGCAATTAGACTCCGCCCTTAAGTCTGTCAACGAATGAAAACTTCATTACTACTTAGATCAGGGCAGGTGCGGGTGGGGCTTAATCTTTGGCTTCAATTTTTTCTTAATGGGTATAAGATCTCATATTTTTTTTAATTGATTCATTTTTTCTTCTTTCTAATTTTTCGGTTCATTAATTTTTTCGATTTTTAAGTTTCTGGATTTTCAATTTTTTGATTTTCCACTTTTTCGATTTTGCTTCCACTTTTCGTTTTTTCAGTTTTTCAATTATCCAACTATTCTAATCCAAAAATGGAAAAAATTTGGAAATTAATAACTTAAGAAATTGAAGAATCGAAAAATTGATAAATCGAAAGATTAAAAATTGAGAAACTTACAAATCGAAAAAGCGCAAAATCGAAAAAAGCAAAAGATTTCTGTTTAAGTATATTGAAAATTAATGAATTCGGAAAATCGGATAACGGAGATCCAAAAATTGCAAAATTGAAAAATTTGAAAAGTTGAATAAACGAAAAATTATTAAAGAAGCATTGAAAAAATATACCTAGACAATGAAAAAACGAAAAATTGTGATATAAAATGAAGAAAATGAAAACAAAAAAAACGGGAAATAGAAAAATATGAAATCGAAACATTGAACATTTGAATAATTGACGAATTAAAGAAAATGGAAAAACGAATGAAAAGTTTGACATCAAAACATTGTAAAATCGAAGAAAAAGGAAAAACTGCAAATTATTATATCAAAAAATCGGTTGAAAGTGAATAAAACCAGATTTTTCGAAGAATTATACGATTTGATTTTACGAATTGTATTTTTTTATGATAACCCTTATAAAGTTAAAATAAAGCTATGTGTGTAATGTTAAAATAAATGTTTCCATTATCCAACTCTTCAAATAAAAAATGGAAAAATTGCAAAATTCTAAAATCAAAAAGCAAAAATAAAAAATGAAAAATTATAAAATGAAAACTTTGAAAAATCTAAAATTTGGAAACTAATAACTTAAAAAATTGAAGAATCGAAAAATTGAAAAATCGAAAGATTAAAAATTGAGAAAAAAAATTGGCTCTCGACGATTAAGACAAAAATCATCACAACTGAGATAGGGTGGGTGGGCGGGGCTTATATTTTGTTTGTTTTCTTAATATACGTAGCCATCTTTTCAGAACAATAAACTTAAAACGTGTTAAATTCTTGCAGACAAAAATGGATTTTGAATTAAGCCCCGCCCCTCGATCTGCCAACGAATGAAAAATTTATCACTATTGGGAATTAAGATCGGGGCGGGTATAATCTTTGGTTTTATTTTTTTCTTAATATACATAGTATTCTTTGAAGAACACGATACAAACATAGTTTTAACTTCTCGTAAGGAAATAAGGATTTTGCAGTTAAGCTCCGCCTTCTTGACTCACGACGAATAAAAAAATCATCACAATTGAGACAGGGTGGGTGGGTAGGGCTACATTTTGCCTCGTTGTTTTAACATGTGTAGACGTATTTCGACAAGAAGAAATTTAAAACATGTCTTAAAGGGTAAATTTTTATAGTAATCAACTTAAATTTTCAAAGTTATAATATTACAGTAATATTAGAGTTCTCATATTCATTATCGTCACCAATTTTTATTAAATATTTCCAGATTATCTGCAGACTAGGTAATATAATTTAATACAAAGTGATTATAAAATATCGTACATCAAGTTGGCTTGGAAAACCTATTACTGCAGTGAGGATTTGTTGCCTACATGACGTAGGTAGCAATTTATCATGCGACCTGAATTATTGGTTGCCTACCCATTTGGGAGCAAACAACTGAAAAAAATTATGATTGACATTTGTGACAGACGACGACAAAGAGTCGTCAATCATCACAGTGAAGCGGCAAAATTAATGAAATTTTAAAGCCAACTTGATGTGGCATGTAGGCATACGGCCATCTTCGTCTAATAACAAAGAAGTTTGGCCATAATGAAATTTTATCTTATTCAAAAATGTTATTTTTGTTATATGTATTATTTGGTTGACTTTTGTTGATGTTCGTGATATTTTCGCTATTTTATCTTGATGTCAGATTAAAAGTTTTCAGAAGTATGTTTACACAATTTTCCTGTTATACATTTTGTATATGGGTTTGAAATATTTAATTACTGTATGTTTAATATCATTGGTAATATTTTTTAAAGGAAAATTTATTGTTGCTGTGTTATCTTTATTTATATGTAATTTATTAGCCTCTAACAAATTACCTGCTTGTTTGTGATAATTTGAAATACTTATTAATTATAAACGAGGCACTGGAGGCTAGGATTTGAGTAACTCAAAGTAATCTCATGTTCGAAATATTTTTATTCACCTTTATTCACCAGTACGACATTTGCCATTACAGTATTAATTGCCAAAAATTCATCAAACCTAAGTAAAACCACGTGTTTCGTCTAGAAGCGCCGCGGTTCCATGGAAGCCATAACGATATCATATATAATACTATAATACCCTCTAATAATTTTTTATTGTTCTCCAATCGAAAACTCCTGCAACATTGTTTATGAAACAATGAACGTCAAGTTTTAATGGCCGCTATCAGAAGTTATAAAATTAAAATACAGGTCCACATAAAATCCTAGTGTGGCTCTATTAAAAGGATAATAAATATCAAGAGGAAAAGGGCGCATGAATCAGGGAATTGTTAGTTCGATGCGGCGTCGTAAAGGGGCGCTAGCGTGGGGGTGTGTCCGCAATTTCTGCCAATGCAAGAGGGTGATGTCGCCTTGGTAACGATCGAAAATTCGCTTCGAAAACATTCGCTGTGGGATTATGTTTTGCGTTTCTGTTAGTACCTACTGGGTGAGGTATTTATACACTTTTTAGGGTAGGTGTAATGGAAACAGGCGCTATGTTACAATATTTCGTTGATAGTCTATTTATAGAGCTGTTTTATTAAGCTGATCAAAATTTGCACTTCTGGATTATTAAAATACAGAAATCTACAAGTTTGCGAAAATTGTAATGAAAACGAAGTCGAAATTGAAATAATAATAAATACTAATACTAAAATGGTTTATTATTTAAACTATACAGTAATAAATAATACAAAATTTAATGTTTGTTTAATCAAATTTATTACATACACAGTATCACTATACATCTATGTGTGAAAATCATACCATCAACTCCAACAAGAACCTTTATTTACCTTACACTGTAAAATTCTCCCTAAAATCCTACCCCACCAGAAGCTTTCCAGGCGACGGGAACGTATAGTGCGGCACTACCAAATTCGTCGGCGCCGGTCCCTTCCTCACCCTTCCAGCCCCATCAAAGTGCGAGCCGTGGCAAGGACAATAGAACCCTCCAGGCCAGTCCCCAGCTCCCGATATTGGCACACACCCCAAGTGCGTACAAACCCCTATCAGGACCAACCACTCGGGTTCCTTCACCCTTTCGTCGTCGTGCTGCGGGTCCCTCAAAGTCGCCACGTCCACGCTCCTCTCCCTCTCGATATCTTCGGGCGACCTGTGTTTGACGAAGAGGGGTTTTCCGCGCCATTTGTACGTCATGTTGCGTCCCTCGGGAATGTCCGCCAGGTTGATCTCGATCTTGGCCAGGGCTAAGACGTCTGCCGACGGCGCCATGAACACCACGTGGCGGATGATTTCTGATTTGAGTGCGTAGGCGCCGATGGTGAGGCCCGTGCCGGCGACCATGGTAGGAATCAGCCTGCGGATGTCCACCGACTCGGAGCTATGGGTGCAGGGGTTGTTGCAGGAGTTGCGGCGGTAAGGGCTGAAGTCGGGGACCTGGATGTCAGTGTGGGATTGGAGGGAGGGTGGGAGGGAGATGGGGGCAGGGGGGCGGAGCAGGGGAAGAATGGGGGCGCGTTTTGAGAGGACAAACAAAGTTTTTGACATTGCGGAGGTGACAGAAGTTAAGTGTTGACGTCGGCCCACTATGTTTTTGGAGAAAAATTTGTTTCGCAGATTCCGAGGGAATCCAGGGGTGGATTATTTATTTATTTGGGACCCTTTTTTTTCCTATAACACTAGGAGTTGGATAGAAAATCTAATTTACAGATTTTCAATACTTTAAAATGTGTAGAAAAAAAAGAAAGTAGAGGAACTGATGCTGAAAACAAAACATAGTCGTCCGACGGCGGCAGCTCTTTATGTCAGTAACTGACTGGCTGCAAGTCATAAATTACTGGAATGACCGGAAGAGGTCAGTTTTGCAAATTTCTATGTGAACTCCTAAAAACAATAACTTGTTTTCGATATTTCGATGTGGGAGCATATTGTGCCTTGTCTCATCAAGTGTGTTTTCGAAACATAATTTTTTTACGTTTCTAAAATTTCAGAACAGTCGGTTTGGATAAATTTTGAAATTTTCGTTCACAATTCTCACTTTCCAAAATTATAAGTATCTATACAAGTATATTATTTTATGAAATTTATTAACACAGTGTCGGATTGAGGACATAAAAGTCCACCGGGAAATTTACAAAGTAGGGCCCTGTGGTATTGTATACCCAGATGTTTTATTACTAGAATTATTATTTTCGACGACATTGGCGTTTTGAAAAAACTATGTTGTTTTTGAAATTTTGATGACGTTACCAGGAAAAACAAAGCTAGTGAAAAAAATGTCGACGGTTATTTTAACAGAACCTCCCTCGCCCTTGAAGCATAGTCCGACACATTCCGCTTCTTTAAAGTTAAATTTTGCGATTTTCGTTTTGAAATTACTATTTTCTTCCTTAATTAATACAGTTACACGATTACTTAAGAACATGGTAATTTCTCGTAAAAAAATAAGGATTTTAGAAGTAAGCTCCGCCCCTCGTCTTACGACGAATAAAAAAAATCATTAGAATTAAGATTTAATTAACCATCTTTTCACAACAAGACTCTGAGAACATGGTTAAAATGGTACATTTTTGTAAGGAAATATGGATTTTGCTATAATGGGGAGGAGCCTAATTTCAAAATCGATATTTCTTTATATATACTTATAAATTTTCCATTTTAAATATGTTTTAAGTTTCATGTTGTGAAAAGAAGTCTACACGTATTAAAACAAAAAGGCTAAATGTAAGCCCGCCCACCCGCCCTATCTCAATTGTGATGATTTTTTTTATTCGTTGTTAATCAAATGGGCGAAACTTAACTGCAAAATACTTATTTGTTCTCAAGAAATTAAAACATGTTTTTGAGTAATTGTGATGATTTTTTGTATTCTTAGTACCTATTTAAAACACGTTTAAAATGGTAAATTTTTGTAAGGAAATACGGAGTTTGCAATTAAGTTTCGCGCCGTTGGCTCTCGGCAATAAAAAAAATCATCACAATTGAGATAGGGTGGGTGGGCGGGGCAGATATTTTGCCTTTTTTCTTAATATACGTAGTCGTCTTTTCAAAATAAGAAACATGTTTAAAATGATAAATTCTTTTAGACAAATATGGATCTTGTATTAAGCCCCGCCCCTTGATCTGACAACGAATGAAAAATTTGTCACAATTGAGATAGGGTGGGTGGGCGGGGCTACATTTTGCATTTTTTTTCAGTGTGTGTAGACTTGTTTCGACAACAAGAATAAAATCCGGACAGACGGCAGACAGACAAACACAGATAGAGACAGACGGAAACGGGCGACCTATTATTTCGTACTGAGTTTACACTGTAAAAAGATGCTCTTATTTAATATTTAGATATATATTTAGCTTTTTATGCGTCTGTTATTTTTTAGGAATGTTTGTTGCATTTGAAACTGTAACATCCAACAAATTACTGGAATGACCGGAAGAGGTCAGTTTAGCTAATTTCCATGTGAACTCCTAAAAACAATAACTTATTTTCGATATTTCGATGTGGTTGCCTCATCAAGTGGACTCAGACCGCATATAAACAAGTGTGTTTTCGTAACATAATTTTTTTACGTTTCTAAAATTTCATAACAGTCGGTTTAGATAAATTTTGAAATTTTTAGTACACAATTCCCACATTCCAAAATTATAAGTGTCTACACAAGTACATATATTATTTTATGAAATTTATTAATCAATTTGTTGATGGAGAGGAACAAACAATCTTTGGTTAGAATTTAACAGTGTCGGATTGAGGACATAGGGGTCCACCGGGAAATTTACAAAGTAGGGCCCTGTGGTATTGTACTCAGATGTTTTATTACTATTATTATTTTCGGCGACATTGGCGTTTTGAAAAAATTATGTTGTTTTTGAAATTTTGATGAAGCTACCTGGAAAAACAAAGCTTGTGAAAAAAATGTCGACGGTTATCTTAACAGAACCTCCCTCGCCCTTGAAGCATAGTCTGACACATTCCGCTTCTTTAAAGTTAAATTTTGCGATTTTCGTTTTGTCATTACTATTAACCTCTATAAAATGGCATTTATTTATCTTTGTATAACACGATTACTTAAGAACATGGTAATTTCTCGTAGAAAAATAAGGATTTTAGAATTAAGCTCCGCCCCTCGTCTTACGACGAATAAAAAAAATCATTGGAATTAAGATAGGGTGGGTGGGCGGGGCTTATATTTTGCATTTTTTTTCTTAATATAAGTACATAACCATCTTTTCACAACAAGACTCTGAGAACATGGTTAAAATGGTACATTTTTGCAAGGAAATATGAATTTTGCTATTATAGGGAGGGGCCTAATTGCAAATCGATATTTCGTTATATAAATTTTCTATTTTAAATATGTTTTAAGTTTCATGTTGTTATGTCTACACATAGTAAAACAAAAAGGCCAAATATAAACCCCGCCCACCCACCCCATCTCAATTGGAATGATTTTTTTAATTCTTAGAATCCTAAAACACGTTTAAAATGGTAAATTTTTGTAAGGAAATATGGATTTAGGTCTGCCAAGGAATGAAAACTTCATTACTATTTAGAGCAGGGCAGGTATGGGTGAGGCTTAATATTTGGTTTTAATTTTTTCTTAATATACAAAGTATTCTTTGAATCACACCATACTCAAAAACATATCTTACATGGTAATTTCTTGTAGAGAAATTACTTTTAACATAATTAAATTAATCGGCGATTAAAAAAAATCATCACAATTGAGATAGGGCGGGTGGGCGGGGCTTATATGTTGCCTTTTTTCTTAAGTTACGTAGTCGTCTTTTCAGAACAAGAAACTTAAAACATGTTTAAAATAGTAAATTCTTTTAGACAAATATGGATCTTGTAATTAAGCCCCGCCCCTCGATCTGACAACCAATGAAAAAGTTATCACAATTGAGAACTGAGGTCGGGGCGGGTACATTTTGCCTTTTTTTCTTAATATGTGTAGACTTATTTCGATAACAAGAATAAAATCCGGACAGACGTAAGACAGACAGAGAGATAGAAACAACGGAAACGGGCGACCTATTATTTCGTACTGAGTTTACACTATAAAAAGATGTTCTTATTTAATATTTACATAGGTATATAGCTTTTTATGCCTCTATTATATTTTTAGGAATATTTGTTGGACTTAAAATTGTAACATCCTGGATATATGAAAAATGAAAATAATTGTAGGTATGGAAAAAAAAAGAAGTAAACTGTTTCGGGAAATTTTCTGGTGTCCCAGCGTCACAACGCAATATGTGAAAATTATTTTCGATATCTTGACTTATCGATTTTTCGACTTTTTGATGTTACCCAATTTTAATTTCTTTTATTTATTTTAATCGTCAATTTTTTTTCAACTTTTTATTGTTCCTTTTTTGCCTTTTTTTGTTGTTTTTTGTGGATTTTCAGTCGCCTTTTTGTGGCCTCTTTTTTATCTCCTTTTTTGGATTTTATATCGTCTTTTTTTGTCATTTTTGTGGCCTTTTGGTCATGTTAATTGTGGCTTTTTCCCCCTTTTTTGACGCTCTTTTTTTTCATTGCGTTTTTATGGTTTATGGTTTTTTGCTGGATTTCGTAGTTGACTTTTTTTGTTACTTTTTTGGTGTTTTTTGTGGTTTTGATCAGCTTTACCTTCCTTTTTAACGACTTTTTTCCCCTTTTATATGCGATTTTTTGTGAAATTTTTGACACCTTTTTTTGTCTCTTTTCTCCTTTTTTTATTGATTTTTTAAGGCCTTCTTTCGTTTTTCCCTTGTTTTTATAACCCTACTTTTTTCGCTTTTTTGCTTTTTTGTGGCCTTGGTCCCATTTCCTGCTTTTTTCCCCTTCTTTATTGTCGAATAAGTATTTATTTTTGGTTTTTATCGCCCCTTTTTTTATAGCCATCCTTCCCCAACCTCTTTTTTTGTAGTATTTTTTCTAACGCGTTTTTTTTGTGTCCCTTTTTGGGGCCCTTTTTGTTGTCTCTTTTTTTTTTGGGTATTGTGACCCTTTTCGGTCCCTTTCAGTGGCTAGTTATATTCTTCTTTAGAGTGGGAATAGAAAATTATAGAATGTGAAAAAAGTAAAAAATAACGTAACTTTTTTGTTACATTATCGCGGATTAGAAATCTCGCTAAAGTTTGGATTGAAAATGAATTTCAAATGTCTTTAGCTTTTGCGTCAACGAGTGTGGATGTTGAACGCACATTCTCCAATTTTAAACACATTCTAAATGATCGGCGAAAAAATTTTACAGTGGACAACTTGAAACATATTACAATCATAAATTGTTTTAAAGAAAACTGAAATACGTGTGTAAAATATAGTCTAGGATTATTGTAATAATATTTTATCCAAAGTTCTAAGAAGTGTTCTTTGATTTGTAATATGATTATGTTTTTAATGCTTTTTTGCTTAAAATAAAACTTTTTTAATGAAAGTGTTATGCTTATTTAATGCTTTTTTGCTTAAAATAAAACTTTTTTATTGAAAATGTTGTGCTTATTTAAGCGCTTAATCTTTTTTTTTATGGTATGCCATTTGCCAAAATCAATGTTACCTTATAAAA